CTACTCATTTTTCAAGGAACTACAGTCTAGGGATGGGACTTGGCTGGGCTGCTGAGACAAACAGCAAACAAATCTGGGGCCTGTGACTCTGGGGGATACTGGCAAAGTGGCACCGTGGTGTGACAAGGGCCAAGACAAAGGTATCCTGGGACTGGAAGGAGGGACCCGTGTAGAGATGCTTGAAATCAGCAATAGGACTTGGATTTGGAAAAGAAAGTTGTAGAGTGACTTCAAGTTTCTACTTGGGTGATAGGTAGAAGATGGTACAGAAAGCAAAAGAGAAATGAGGCCAGTTTGGACTTGTGAAATGTCTGTCAAAACTCAGATAAGTGAGGGCGTAAGGCACATAATTTATTTAAATAAATAAATAACAGGATGAATATTAGAATTTAAGTTTCTTCTTTCTTAGGTTTATTGTGCTCTATCAATTTGCCTTCCCCTAAAACAATATTTATAGTGGTATTTCCTCACATAAAAAAAAAAAAATGTCTTAATGTAGAGAAAAAAACTTACACCCACTTCTGCCATGGAGATTTGTCCTCTTGTTCTACTTATTGTCATGATTTTATGATGGATTTTTTTCATACTTCCCTGTTTCCTTGAATGTTACACTGTTTTATATAAATGTTACTAAGGGATTACCAGCACACACTAGCTAATCATCATTTTAAAAATATTTCGTGTAGAGTTTTTGTTTTTATTTATTTTTATTTTTTCCTCGAGATGGAGTCTCGCTCTGTCACCTAGGCTGGAGTGCAGTGGCATGATCTTGGTTCACTGCAACCTGCCTGCCTCAGGTTCAAGTGATTCTTCTGCTTCAGCCTCCCGAGTAGCTGGGACTACAGGCATGCTCCACCACGCCTGGCTAATTTTTGTATTTTTAGTAGAGACGGAGTTTCACCATGTTGGCCAGGCTGGTCTCAAGCTGCTGACCTCAAGTGATCCATCCACCTCACCCTCCCAAACTGCTGAGATTACAGGCATGAGCCACTACGCCCAGCCTCATGTAGTTTTTAAAGGACATTTATTTTCTTTTCCTAATAGTTTACAGTTTCTGTTATTGAGGAGCTGGGGAAAAAAGCCTGAGATGGGGTAAAGTATAAATTAGGTTGCCTCTTAATTTGTTTCTACAAATGTTGTTTTCTATTAGTCCCATTTCACTGAGCAGAATACTGAAGCCAGAAAGATGGTAACTGGAGATCACACAACTGGATCCTAAGGATCCCCTGCCCTTAGAACATTAAACCTCGAGAGAGAAACGATTGGGATCTAAATGTGGAAGTGGTTAGATTGTGTTGAGGAAAATGTCTCCTGGTAAGGAGATAGAACATCCTCAGGTAGACTTAAAAAACAAATAAAATCTTTCAGAAATACTTAAGATATAACAGACTTCTCACTTCAAATTTCGACGAGAATTTGAGTTATTTCATGGGTATACTGGTATGGGACAATGAAAAGTCTTTGCTAATTTTGCCTAATACACTGAAAAGGGCAACGAAGAATGCAAATATGGAGTTCACCCAAGCAAATGAGATATAGGTAGTTGTAGGCATTTCTAAGAAGCAGACAGACAAATGGCAATTGTTGGAGTTACCCTTCTGAACATACATGCTTTGAATAGAACTGGCCTTATAAGTAGACATTAGTAATTTGAGGAAGCACCAGAGAGACCCTTCATAGCTTTATTTTTGTGGACAGTGGAAGTTTTTGTATTTTCTTTTTTTCCCCTTCTTTTTGAAACAGGGTCTCACTCTGTTGCTCAGGCTGGAGTGCAGTGGTATGAGCATGGCTCACTGCAGCCTCGATCTCGGGCTCAAGTGATCCTCCTGCCCCAGCTTCCTGAGTATCTAGGACTACAGGTGTACGTCACCATGCCCGGCCAATTTTTTTATTTTTTGTAGAGACAGGGTCTCACTATGTTGCCCAGGCTGGTCTCAAACTCCTATACTCAAACAATCCTTCCTCCTGCAGCCTTCCAAAGTGCCAGGACTACAGGTATTAGTCACCACACCTCTGCAAGTGTTAATGTTTCACAACTGTTAGAATGTAAACTACCCTTGCGAGGTCATGAGCTTTATTATTTCAGTAGCTAGCAGGGTGATGGGCCCCAGGATAGGACAGTAAGACCTGATTGAAATGAGAGAACAGACTCGGGCCCTAGCCTGCCTTTTAGGACATTACTGCCCTTGCTTTAGGAAAAAATAATGCTTTTTTCCTCCCGCTTAATTGGGTCATTGAAGTAATAGCACTGAACAAAGGGTTCCACTAAGGATGAAGATAAATAGCGTATCTAACCATTTAAAAATTGTAAAAATTATTCCAATGTTGTTGTTTTCATTGATTAAGGAGAGAGAAAACTAGTAAGTTGGAGTGGTTTGACCCAAATAGTTCAAAGAAAGATGTTTCATTATTTAGAAATTCTACAGGGGCTGCACTAAGAGGATGTTTTCTAATTTTTGCACAAAAAATAAGGTATAAATAATAAATTGTTCAAACCAAGGAACAGAGAACTTGGCTAAGGTGATTGCCTTAGGTACTTATGGTTTGGGCAGAGGACTATCAGCACTGTGTGTTTTGATCTGTATAACTATGGTATTTAGCTGTAAATATAAAATACTTGAATTGCAGAGTTTGTAAACTAAAAGGGATTGCAGAAATCATCTAGTCCAGTGGTTTTCAAACTTGATTTTAGCCGCAGACTTTTTCCTTTAAAAATGAAGTCTTAAGTGGAACCCCGATGATTAACACAGATAATAAGAAGTGGGTTCCTCTGGTACTTTAAATCTTGAGAATCTTGATTCTTTGGGGGAAAAGTTCTTCATTGCCTACAAAATCCCTTAAGCACCTCAGGTGGCACAGTTTGAAAACCACTGATCTAGTCCAACCCTTTCATTTTACAGATGAATAAACTGAGGTCCAGAGAGGTTAAGTGACTTGCCCAAGGTCACACAGCTAGTCATGGAAGAGCCAGGACTAGATCTCAGGTCTCTTGATTCCCAGTCCAATGCTCTTTCCACTACACCACACTGCCAGTAAGGTAGGTGCTATGTTAGCATTATGTTCACAGCCGCTAATAGTCTTCAGTATTTTCCAACTGATTTATGCTGATAATATGCATTGAATATTGAAGTGTATTATTTAGAAATTTGTAGGATATGCAAATACAGATTCGAATCACATGGGTATACTCTTAGAAGATAAATCAGTATCTAGAATGTTTCAGTTCACTTTTAATAATTATTTTAAAGCAATGCAATTAGGTAATGTCTCAGCTACACTGGATATTTTAGTCTGATATCAATGATCAATATGTAAGGAGTCAGTATGTTTTAGTGTAGACACATACTTTGATGGGAGTGGCATTAGGATTCCTGGCTGCCACTCCCTTGGGGGCTATGCTCTGCCATCATTTCCAATATTGGCCAGTCTATTCAGAATAGTGCATCCCTCTTAGTATGTAGTGGGCATGTTTTTTAACATAAAACTCTGAAGATTTACCCTCAGTTCTTTCTATGTCTTTACCTTCTGTCTCTAAGTCCTTTATTCTTCTCAACCTGGTGTGTATGAATTGTCACTGCGGGGCCCACCCTAAAGGGGCATAAAGGATGTTTCATTGTAGAATCCTGTTGCCCCTGATCATCTCTGTTGTTGATTCAGTTTCCACCTGGATTGCTCTAGTATTATCAGACAAAGACTAGATGCTGTCACTAGATGCCAGGAAAGTAGAAAAAGTGCCTCTATGCTGTTATTTTACTACCTAAAATAAAGAAGGCATGTAGAAGTCTGTAGCCACTGTGAACCAGTAGAATTCTTATGAGAAAATGTCCCTGAGAAAATAGATGTTACCACCTGTCTAAAGATAAGAGTGCCGGTCTTGTAAGTAAAAAGTAAGTTTGGGAGCAGTGATTACAGTCAAAGTTGAATATGGTTTGTTTCTATCTTATTGAATATATTAGGGGCTAGTCTCTAAGCAGTAGAAGTATATACAGCCAGAAATTACTTCTTGAGTCCTACATTTATTTGAGAATTAAGGAATCGTGACTAGTTATCAGGTCTTATTTATAGAATGCATTCCTTCTGAAAGCCAAGTTCAGAGTTCTGTGCATCACATGGTGATGTGTTGTCAGGGTGTTCCCGTCCTGCTGTATGACCTGATAACCCCAGACAGGATACATTAGCTCTGTGTATGTGTTTCCTCAACTTTAAAATAAAATAATGACCTAGATCTTCCTTCTAGTCCAGGCTAGCTCTGTATGACACCTTGGTGACTCAAGATAGTGTCAGGGTCCCAGACATTGCATTGCATGCTGTGTTCACTCAGTTTGATCCTTACTTTCCTGTAGAAGTTTCTGTGGTGATGGAAATGTTATATATCTGTGCAGTCCACCCACTACTGAAGCCACCGGCCACGCGTACCTGTTGAGCACATGAAATGTGGCTGCTGATACTGAAGAACTGAATTTTAAGCTTTATTTAATTTTAAGTAACTTACATTTTAAGTTAAGCAACCACGTGTAGCTAATGTATTGAACAACACAGTTCTTAGATGTTCTCTGACACAGAAGTCAGATACCAAGCGGAATAGGTGTAGCTCAAGTGTTCATCAAGAGAGTGGTGATGTTTTACCTTGATGATTCTTCATCAAATATAGTCGGTCTTAGGGTAACTTGTTAGAAATCAAGCACTGTTTTTTGAATGAAAATGTTATCTACAAAAGACTTGAGTTTCCTCTTGTTTGTGACTTAACCACATAAGCTTCAACTGAAAAGATATTTGCTAATTTGATGAGAAGTGAAGCATTTTCTCCTATCTGCAGGCTTATGATCATTTAGGTCTCGACACAGGTCTCAGTGAATTCCCGTATGTTTTCTGGGAAGCTGAGTTTAGGTTTCTGGTCAGTAAAAAATACTCTGTCTTTATTCCAAGTTCAAATATGAGTGACTGAACTGTGCTGATTTCTGAATAGATGATGAAACAAACTCTTGTTTTTTCCCTCTTAGAACCAAAGAAAATGGCTTTGACAGAGAGCCTTTGCACTCAGAACATCCAAGCAAGCGACCATGCACTATTAGCCCAGGCCAGCGGTACAGTCCAAATAACGGCTTATCCTACCAGCCCAATGGCCTGCCTCACCCCACCCCACCTCCACCTCAGCATTACCGTTTGGATGATATGGCCATTGCCCACCACTACAGGGACTCCTATCGACACCCCAGCCACAGGGACCTCAGGGACAGAAACAGACCTATGGGTAAGACTGAAGGATCTGTTCACTTCTTATGGGATTGGGTGCTTGAAGACTTGCACCATTACTTCTGAACTGAACTTGAGGCTTGAAATCTGTGATAGGGATAAAAATTATCTTATCTTGCTTTATATTGTCTCCTTTATGAAAAAAACTTGATTGGTATTAATAGACTTTTCAACAGCTGTGCACTGTCTCTCTCCTAATCACTTGTATTCTTTAAGACAGTACACTAAATTTCTTTGGAGGAGGGCATCTATATTAATACAAGACCCTCAATTGTTGTGTTGGTAACAAATGCAAAATAAATTTTTAGCTTGAATTCTCTTTTAACACGAGACTTCATATGCAGTCTGCCTGCCACAAATATTTTTAAAAATCACTTTATTTTCTTGCATTGTGTCTTTTGTTTCAGATAGTCTCTACGTTTATTTTGATTTTTTTCAAGCCTCCATGATATTCCATATTTCCAAAGTATGATATGGTATGCTATCTGTGGCTTAACAGATGTTTCCTGAGGAATGATTTGGTACTTTTGTTTACTTGAAAATGCCAGTGATTAAAGTTAATATTGACAATTTTGGGTCAAGGATCGGAATACTGAAGAAGTGAATTTGGGCAAATATGTGTCCTATTTCCCTGTGTTCGTTCCTTCTTTGCATAAAACTATTAGAAGTAAAGCATTTTGTCTGGGTGCAGTGGCTCACGCCTATAATCCCAGCACTTTGGGAGGCCGACATGGGTAGATGAGTTTGAGCTCAGGAGTTTGAGACCAGCCTGGGCACTGTGACAAAATTCCGTCTCTACTAAAATTACAAAATTAGCCAGGCATGGTGGTGGACTCCTTTAGCCCCAGCTACCTGTGGGGCTGAGGCAGGAGGATCGCTTGAGCCCAGGAAGCAGAGGTTACAGTGAGATGAGATCATGCCACTGCACCCCACACACTGCACCCCAGCCTGGGTGGCAGAGCAAGACCCTGTCTCAAAAAAAAAAAAAAAAATAGTAAAGCATTTTGAAGACATTGCCTTCTGTAGAACAAATGTCTACCATGAAAAGTGAGAGAGAAGATGAACAAGGTAGGTTTTTAAACACATGATTAGTGGTTCAGTGGTGGAGATGATAGTGTATCAGAGGGTTATTAGTAAGTACACTATTACTGGGGTGCCTTCAATTCTTAATTAGTGATGAGTCTAACTGAGAGCAATAGTGAGTCTCCTCTTCTTTTTCCATCTCCTGTGTCCACATCACCCACCAACAGGACTTTCTCTACCTTATAACGAATTGCTGGCAAACTTTCCTGGTGCGGGTGACTTAGTGGCCAGTACACTAGAAAGAGCAGGGGATGAAGTGCAAGTAGAAAACCCAAAAACAGAGCTGAGGATACAGAATTCTGGGGAATGTAGCCAGCCAGTTATTCACTACTTGATTACAGTGATGGTGGTTTTTGTTTTTGTTTTTGTTTTTTTTAGCCACAGGCAGAGAGAGTCTAATATATAAAGTTTACATTCAATTTCCAAGTACATTGCTAGCAAACAGGGGCTCCACGTGTAGGGCCTTTTTTGCCTTTCTACGCCCAACACCCCAAATGTTTAGAAAGCAGGAAGAGTCAGGATGAGGGGAGGGGCGATTGAAGCTTTGGTTGTAACACAGTAAATTAGTAGTTCTGGTTCTCCACAACAGTAATTTCTATGTTTATATAGTGTGTCAGACAAATGACTAAGCATATAATTTGTGCTTTCTTAATACCCAATCTGTCTAATGTTCTCGCAGGTACCATTTCTGAAGACCTTTCAAAGGTGGTTATGCTATTTCTTGATCTGGATTGATATTTGGACCCCAAAATCAAATGTGATAACAATTCCCTTCTACACAAAGCCTTAGCATTTATTTATGACTTAAGTACTGAAAACCATGACTGCATGTTTTTAAATAGCAGTGGAGTCATCAGGTCGTGGTGAGACCAGTTCAAGGGATCCCATTTTGTAGATGTGTTAGCAAATGGCCTGTTTCTTAGGCAGCAAGTGCTATTTTGTGAAATATTAGTTCCAGTGCACTATACAGTAATCAGAAAGGAAGTAATTACACTTATGTGCAACGATTATGTTTTCATCAAGTAATGTAAAATATCCCTTTATGAATTATATCTGTATCCATTGGTTTTATGTGATTTTCTTCAGACCATGTTCCTTACCTTTTAATTACATTAGCTTATAAAACTAATAGTGCTAATCTCTATAAATATGTGCAGCTACTAAACCATCCCTAAAGTCTGGCAGAGTTTAGTGTGTGTTAATGTAAAATAAAATCTTGATGTATGAGCAACAAATTATGGTATTACACCAGGCTGCCATTTTGAGAATATAAAAATTGTCATAAAGATATACTTAGTCTGGTACGATTTATAAATGCCTATTATGTGTAGGGACATATACTCACTAGAATCCTTCAGTAAAGTAACCTGTTAGCGGCATTAGTTTGTAAGTAAGCTTAGAGTTTTAGCCTAGTCAAAATATTCTAAAGCAAAATAACTAGTTAAGACTCAACATTAGTGTCAAATTTCCCACAAATGAAAATGTGATTATGAGCTATTTAATGATTATGAGCTATTTTCCCCTGGTACATCCCTCTGGTATTATGACTATAAATAAAAATTGTGTGCTGCTGAATATTTAAGTATCTTAAATAGAGAAATTAGTAAATGTAAAATCTTGATTTATTTTTTATTTTTAAAGATTTGATTATATCTAACAAATGACTTTCAGTGTTCAAAAGCAGCAAATGAATCTTACATTTTTTCAGCAAGTACTTGAGCTCAAACATGTTTCTAATACACTTAGTATTTTTTTTAAATGAGATGAAGCTTAGTACTGTTTCACAAATGCTGAAATCCCACTACCACAGATGTCCTGTTGCTCATTAATATTACTCCAGGCGTTACAGCTTGTATCATTACTGATTTCTTCTGCTGAATTTTTCAAGCTTTTGAGACCTCTGGAATTCTTGTCCTTAAAGGCAAATATTCAGATGCCTCTAACATGGAAGTCACTGTCACATTTCTATCCTTATCACTTTCTGGTTGTTTTCTATGGTGACTAATTTTAACAGTAGTGGTTTTTCCCTAAAACACAGGCAACAAATAAGTTAACAAAAATTACATATTTGCAAACATTTCAACTTGAAATAATCACAACAGAGCAGTAACTAAGTACTATTTTTCCCAATGTGTTTATATTATGCAAATTAATAAAACATATTTGCACTTTTACTTTTTAACCAATAGGTGGCATTGACAATTTTAACTTTTAAAATATATCTTAGATTATGTTCTAATTGGACAGGAGTGGTACAAAGCATCTTGCATTTAGCTTTTCAGTTAGTCGGAGAAAGGGTTGTCATAAATTTGTTCACTTCCATCAGTTGTAAATGAAATCTCTTTACATGGTTGACTGAACAGAGTCACGTGACTCATCTTTATTTGTGTACATCAGCGGAAAAAAAAGGGATTTCTAACCACTTAAATCTCACAAAAAGTGAAATTCAGTGTCTTATAACTCGTTTGGTCATTTAATTCTTACATAAGTTCCACAGAGAGGTAGCCCAGTTATCTAGAAACCCAAACTATAAGAAACCTTATTTGCTGTTCAGAGTAACATTTTGAGAATTGGTAACCAAACATAATAGTTTTGTTCATTTAAATTGCAAAATAATGCCACAGCTCAATGACTTTCCTATTCAACAGAATATAAAGTGAATATGTAAGAGGAACAACATGTTTCCAGGTTTCTCTGATTGGAACCTTTCAGCCCGTTTTTTAGTGAGACACATTTACTTCCTATTTTAATGAGCATCCTAGCTAACTGCTTAAATTCGTTAATATTGGTGCTCACTTGGTAAACACTTATATATTACTTTTTCATAGTGGTATCTTAACTATTATGCTAAAGAGCATTAAGTCTTATGGACTTCAAATTAGGATTTTCAGTTGGTTCACTTGGATTTATGATATTTGTCAAATTATATCTTGTATGTTAATTTTGTAATGAAGGATGTCCAATTTACTTTTATTTTTTATTTTTTGGTAAACCAAATGAGTATATGTAGCTCCATATTATACAAGCCTTCTCTTCATGGTCTAATTTTGTCATGTAGGTATATGTGTATTCATTTATACAAGGCTGAAATGTGGAAAAATTTACCATGTTTGTTTTGGGAAAGCATGTCCCTTCCCATGTAAAATGACTTATGCTGTCTGTATTTTTAATGCAGGATGTCAATGCTTTAAAAACCACTTAATGTCTACTTGTGGTTTCTTGTATTTATTAAGAGTTAGAATATATTTTTATTTACAGAGTGTTGCGCGGATAACTAGCTGTGGACTTGGTGTCACTTAACTGTCTCTTATGTGTAAAATAAAGTCTTCTGAGCAGCTGACCTCTGAAATTCCTTCTAGTTCTAGTATTTTATCATTCTGTGAGGAACCTATTAAGTAATTCTGAATCTAGGTATGATTCATGTCTCCATTCAAAATCAAATGTATTTTTACCTCATTGAGTTTGCCCACATAGTCCTTGCTGTGAGTCTGTGTGTGTATGGGTTGTATACTGAACGCTTTAGGGTTATTCAGCCTTCTCTATTTTTGTAGGGTTGCATGGCACACGTCAAGAAGAAATGATTGATCACAGACTAACAGACAGAGAATGGGCAGAAGAGTGGAAACATCTTGACCACGTAAGACATCAGTAATCATTTGGGATTAAACAATGTTTGGAAAACAACTGGAGTGAGGTTATGTGATAAAATAAAAGCTTGGTGATCCTTTGAAGGTATTGTGTTTCCTGCTATCCTTGAAAAAAATAATGAGCGAGAATATTTGAAGTAGAATGTAGGATTTGATTTCTAAATTGATATGAAAGCCACTTAAGAGAAATGTTTAGATCTTGGAAAGGAATTCTCAAAGCCAGATCAGTGGGCTACTGTTTTATTGTGAAAAGATTATTTAATTTATAAAGTAATGGGATTAGTATTTAGAGAGGTGGATTTACTGGCTATAGTGCCTTCAGGTGAAATTTCCCTTCTGTCTTGTGTTCATACATCTATCTTCTCATTCCCATCGAATTTTCTCATCTATTGGCTCTGAATTTCAAATCTAACTGTAGAAAATATTAGACCAAAACCTTCAGGGATAAAATTGCTTCCTTCATTGTCCTGAAATGGTTTGTTTCACTATTCAGTAAAATCTTTAATTGTGATGATTTATACGCTCTTCCCTATTCTCCCCTTTCCACGTAGCTGTTAAACTGCATAATGGACATGGTAGAAAAAACAAGGCGATCTCTCACCGTACTAAGGCGGTGTCAAGAAGCAGACCGGGAAGAATTGAATTACTGGATCCGGCGATACAGTGATGCCGAGGACTTAAAAAAAGGTGGCGGCAGTAGCAGCAGTCACTCCAGGCAGCAGAGTCCCGTCAACCCAGACCCAGTTACACTAGGTAACTTTTCTTCAGATGAGTATCTCGAACACATATTTCTTATGCTGTTAATGCTGACTTTATTTTTAACTTCTTTTTAAAATTAAAGGATATGCAAGGAATTTTGAGACAATAAACAATTTACATATCCTCCAATATGTCTTATCTGTCTGTTAGGAATTTGGGCAGATTGGCATAGACAGAGATTGCCACAAAACTTAAATTCCTTTTCCAGGTGAATGTATTGAGCTGATGGCAGAGTTTCCGCACTGAACCAGAATTTCATGTGCTTAACTAAAACTTGTGCTCCTTCAAAATGCCTCAAAACAGCAAAAACAATCTCAGGGAGTGGGCCTGGGGCTTAGGCACTTCCATCAAGGTCTCTAGTGAATTCTGCCACTGCCTACCATTAGCACTGCACACGGGGATGTATGTTTCAAATTATTAATTCAAGAAACAGCCCATAAGACAATCTTGTTTGTTAGTTGAATATATATATGTGTGTGTATATATATACGTTTTTTTTTAACTTTTTTCGCAACAGCCCCTGCCCAGAAAGAGAGACCTAAAAACTATGTATTTTGCCTACAGCTATTTTTAAATTAATGATAATGATGCAGCACTCTTCCTTTGATTTGATCTTAACTTGCATTACTTGATCATGATTGTATTAATTCTAGTTTTATAATAGGACTCATAATATAGTTGTGCCTTAGAAGTGGAATGTTAGTATGTAACTGTATTACTTATTGATATTTGGGAATTGTTGGGGTTATAGATAGAATATAATCCCATATATGTTGAAAGAAATCGTCAACCTGAAAGAATTTTTGTGTGGCCTGTGAACGTTTACCTAAATTAATAATACGGTTTTGTCGCTGACATTACCACCTATTATGTGTGAATACTTTTTGAGTAAACTTACGGAGATGGATTTCTGTGGATTCTTGTTCTCTTATATTCTCTTATGTGATTAACCCCATACCCATCTGCTAATTCAAGTTAGAGTACTGTCCATGCTGCAAAACATGTGCAGATTAAGCTCATAACTTTGGCCTCATTAGTATTATGACTGATTATCAAAAGTTAAAAACTTGAAGTATATGATCTGTCTATTGATCACATTATTGTTTTCAATTTGTTCCCAGCCAGTGTAGCTTTCTATGCACTTAGGTTTGTAGATTTTTGCTAATCTCTGAATGCTGAATGCCTATTGTTATAAGTATTAAATAATGGAAGAGTCTAAGTCACTTAATTTACCTAACAAGTATTATTCTAAAGCATATTTTAAAGACAAAACTGTATTTGTCAGGTCACAGTAAGGCAAGCAACGAAAACAGAATTACATTTGGTTTGAGCTAGTATTGGTCGAAACCAAACTATTTAGAGCAGAGTGGAAAAAAAGTCTTGTGTTTATTTCCTTATTATGAACAAAAATTGATTAATCATGAGAGATTTGCTTAGGACAGAGGAGACATTTATAACTATCCAGTCTAGGCAAAAATTGAGAGCCTCGAAGTAAATAAAACTTAGGGAGTTAAAACATCTAGTTTGGCTTTTTCTATTGAACACATTCATTGAGTCAGTACTTATTTACTGAGTGCTTACTATATGTCAGGCATTGTGCTAGGCGTTCTAATGAAGGAAAAAGAGTCTTCATTTCTTTCTTTGAGGGCCTTTGGGTCTAGTGGAAGAAGGCAAGGGAATAGCTAGTGTTAAGGCCATAGGATAGTTACCTCAATTCAGTTGACCAAACTGACCAGATTGCTATCATCTGCCATCCACTGTAAAAGAAACATCTCCGAAATTGATCAGACTTCATACCTAAGTGAGTTATCAGCACATAGAACAAGGGCCATTTTGTGTATAGTCACTAATGCTACAGTCAGATTCTGGTGATACAGGTGTATATCATGTTTTCCAGGAAGAGAGGTTCATTGTCCCTGTTACATAACCAAAGTAATAAACTTGGTTTTAAAAAACTCCTTTTTAAAAGTACGCAAACCATACTATTTTTAGTGATGTTCAATGGATTTATATTTTTGTTAAACCTGAGATGTTTGTTTGGCTTTAAGTTTTTGTGGGTTATATTAGTCAAGGGTACAGCATTTAATTTCTTTGTTTATAGACAACATTAAGACATTATGTTTTTTATGTACACAGAATCCTAAGTTGCCATTAAGACACTATTATAACTTTAGAGAAAATCTGTGTAGAACTCTGCAGTGTGCAAGTTTTAGCATCCAATAGTGTTTTGACAGTTTTTTTCACTGTACATCCTTACTAGCTGATTCTTTCAGCCTTGTGTACTATTTTCTGAGACAGAGCTATGGCTGTAAATAACAGGACAGGTGGTTTGTAATTATGGGCCACAATCATTTACATTAAGTGCTTTCTAAGTCCCTCTTCCAGGCTTTGGAGTTGAATGAATTGATGTGTGTAGTGAAAGGATTGGAGATTATTGGCTGATAAATCTATTTTCTGTGGCTGGAAAGTGTTTAATGGAGTGCACGTGTGCAGATAAATCTATGGATACGTCTATATCTTTATATACATTTAGATCTCCATATCCCCAGTGGTATGTATTTCTTTTAGCCTAATTCTTTTGCTTCTTAAACTACTGTCTGGTCTCAAATGAGACCTTCGGAATATATTATAGAAGATATCTTTGGTTCAAAATATTGCCCTACTTATATCCCTAACTTGGAAACACTGGGAATGTGTAGTCATACGCACATTCTTAGCATTTTAAAATTATATTTGGGGACTTCACAGAGAAGAATGTAACTTTCATGACTGATGTGTTGTACGTGTTAAACTCAATCCCATTCTCACTTTTGAAATATATCCGTAGTATTAAGTGAGTATAGGGGGTTAGTAAAATAACTCAATTAATCTATTATTAATTGAATTTTAAGAGTTTTCCTGGCCAGACGCAGTGGCTCACACCTGTAATCCGAGCACTTTGGAAGGCCGAGGCAGGCGGATCACAAGGTCGGGGGTTCGAGACCAGCCTGGCCAACATGGTGAAGCCCCTTCGCTACTAAAGATAAAAAAAAAAAAAAAAAAAAAAAAAATTTAAGCAGGCATACTGGCATGTGCCTGTAATCCCAGCTACTTGGAAGGCTAAGGCAGGAGAGTCACTTGAACCTGGGAGGCGGAGGTGGCAGTGAGCCGAGATCACGCCATTGCACTCTAGCCTAGATGACAGGGCAAGACTCTGTCTCAAAAAAAAAAAAAAAGGGGGTTTTCCCAAGATACTAAAATCTCTTTTTTGAATAACTTCTGAAACAGTTTTTAACACTGAGTAACTGAGTATACACTGAATTCATAATGGTATTTCTGTTCTTTAAAATGCAAGTTGACATCTTGAAGGACTTTTCATAAAGTAGGTTTTCTTGAAATAATAGATATTTATTATATTTACTGTTGTTACTCATTTACTTTCCAGGGAGAACTCCAAATATCCAACTCTTAACAAAATTAGAAAGCAATTTTTAACACAACTGTCTCTATTTTCAAAGTATGACTTATTTATACATTTAAGTTTTATTACATGGTATACTTCACAGAAGAAGAGCAAGATAATGTGATCAGAACTGACAGATTTGACCATGAAGTAGAATTACTTTTATATGTATAGAGAGGCAGTTGCTGGTTAGCACTTTGTATGTTTTCTGAAGTGCTTGTCAGAATCTCCGTAGTAGATCTTTTTCCTTTTTTGTCTTTGGTTCCTTTTTCTCTCAGAATGTTGTCACGTCACTCTCTTGGCTCCTGACATTTTTCTTTTAAATTACTTTCCTTTTACTAGCTTTTGACTATTCTAGAATCTTTCTGTAGTTTGTCTTGTATCTGTGTGTTCTCTCTTTGTTTTCTAGAAGTCTTCCACATCTTTTTTTTTTTTTTTTTTTTTTTTTTTTTTTGAGACGGGGTCTCACTTTGTCTGTCACTCAAGGTGAAGTGTGGTGGCATAATCTTGGCTCACTGCAGCCTTGACCTCCTGGGCTCCCACCTCAGCCCCCCAAGTAGCTGGGACTACAGGTGACTGCCACCACACCCAGGTAATTTTTTTATATTTTTTGTAGGGGTGGGGTTTTGTCTTATCGCCCAGGGTGGTTTTGAACTCCTGAGCTCAAGGGATCTGCCCATCTTGGCCTCCCAAAGTGCTAGTATTACAGGCGTGAGCCACTGTACCTGGCCAAAATTTTTTTCTAATGATAGGTTTAAGGCTAATGTCAGGGACTGGACATAAATTCTGAAATATAAATGCACTTTCCCTGTGCTTTTAAAAAATGTATGAACATTGTGATGATATCGTAGTAAATTTAGAAAATACCTTCACTCTGTTTTGTTAAGAGTTTAGTACTTGCCAGAGATAGAAATATCAAAAAGTTTTGTTTAAGTGTAATGAAAAATCAAACTTAGCATTCATAAAAAACTTAGAGCTGGGAGTGGTGGCTGACGCCTATAATCCCAACACTTGGGGAGGCTGAGGCGGGCAGATCACTAGGTCAGGATATTGAGATCATCCTGGCTAACAGGGTGAAACCCCATCTCCACTAAAAATACAAAAAATTAGCCAGATATGGTGGTGCACCCCTGTAGTCCCAGCTACTCGGGAGGCTGAGGCAGGAGAATTGCTTGAACCCTGGAGGAGGAGGTTGCAGTGAACCGAGATCGTACCACTGTATTCCAGCCTGGAGGACAGAATGAGACTGTGTCTCAAAAAAAAAAAAAAAAAGCTTAGTAACTCAGGAGCTTGTTGAATTAATACCATCCCCTGTCCCAAGTGGGTTGGTAGAGGAATTAGTATTTTAAAATACTGCTAGCTGGCAAGTTTTATGATTGTCATATGATTGAATTATGGAATTTCTCATTGCTCTGTAAATCCTCAGGAAATCTAGCATGAAGGTTGAAAGCACAAACTCAGTAGAATTTCTAGATTCAAATTACTCATTCCTCTCCGTATTAGTTTTGCGGCCTTTGGCAGGTCATAATCTCTTTGTGCTTCAGTTTCCTCG